TTCCAGGTTTTGAGCTGTCAGGACAGAGCCCGACACGGGGCTCGAACTCACAAACCGTGAGATCATGACCTGAGCTGAAGTCGGACACAACCAACCGAGCCACCCAACCACCCTATACCTTCTGTCTCTTTGAGTCTGACTCTTGTAGGGACCTTACAGAAGTGGAACCACGCAGGATTTAGCCTTTTGTGTCTGGCTTATTTCACTCAGCAATGCGTCCTCAAGGTTCATCCATGTGGTGGCACGTGGCAGGATTTCCGTCCTTTTTAAAGCTGACTAATATTTCATTATGTGAAGTGACCACATTGTGTTTGTCCAGAGCCATTAGTTGATAGACACTTGGGTTACTTCCAGTTTTGGGCTGTTTTGAATACGCTGCTGTGAACATGGGTGTGCCCGTATCTCTTCTGAGTGTGTACCAAGAAGTGGGATTGGCGGGTCATACAGTAATTCTACGCGTCTGTTTGAGGAGGCAGCAGGTCACCGTAGTAGCTGCCCCATTTTACCGGCAACGTCCTCACCGATGTGGCAGGCACATTGTCACTCTCCTTGCCAGTGCCTCCTCCCTGGCCTACGGGACCAGAGAGTCACAGGCAGACTGCTGTCCCCACCCTGGTCCAGGGGAAGGACACAGCCATCCTCTAGGCTTGGCTGGGGTTTGGGCCTCACTAGGTTCCCTCGGGGAGTGTCCACCTCTCGATTTCACATCCCTTCCTGAACAGAGTCCCTGGGTGTTTGAGAATTTGATGTACTTCCAGTAACTCATGGGTCAAGACAAAATCGTAAAGGCAGAATAATAAACATTTACATAGCAAAATGTGTATCATGTACTTAAAGTGAATACCACAAGAGAAGTACACTTGGGAAAGAAAAAAGGCTAAAAATTAATGAGTTAAACTTCTAAGTTAAGGACAAAAAGATAAGCCCAGCACAGGGTGTGTTCAGATGAGAGCAGAGATTGATGAGACAGAAGGGCGGGTGGCCCTTTGTCAAGGTTCCAAACAGAGAGACCATCTCAAGGAGGTACCGTCAGCACCCGCCTGGCCACCCACATGGTCAGGGGACAGCGTGTGGGAATGGTGCGCTACCACGACAGCGATCCCCTCGCCTCTGTGGTCCTGCTGCCGGGAGAAAACCCGTCCAAGGACTTTCCTCTGTCCTCTGTTTACTCAGGACCTGTTTTTTAAGTACACCTGGAATAACTTCCTGCACTTCCAAGTGGAACTATGCATAGCCGCTATTCTCTCCCATGCTGCCCGCGAGGACAGGGCAGAAGCCAGTGGACTGGAGGGCAGGGTGGAGCTTCTGCCCGGAAGCGGGGACCCAGAGGCCCCCCAGCCTGCTGCCAGCCGCCCTGAGAACACAATGGTGACCCATGTAAGTCCAGCCAGCGTCCTGTGTGTTGCTGTGCGCCCTTCCTGTCACTGCGAGCTGAGCCCCACCCTGTGTGGATATCCGCACTGTGGCTGCCCCCTAAGCCTCCCATGACGTGGGTGCGCTGCCCTCCCTCCACTGTGAGACAAAGAGTCACGGAGAAAGTGTCCCGGCTTGCCAGGGAGCCGAGGGCCGGGCCCTGCGGTGGGCCACGCTCACCAGAGGGGGCCAGAGCATCTGGATGCAGCCCCAGGGTCTGCTGCCGTCATGACAAGGCCATGAAGGAAAGTGTGCGGGAAAGAGAATGTGTCGAAGTCTCAGGGGAAAACATTCTGGGGTTGTGGACCCTGTGAAAGGAAAGTCTTGCCTTTTTCTGGGCACTTCCATGCTGGCCCATGAGTGTCTCACGGGAGTCTCCCCTCTGGGACTGCCCATAGCTCTTCCCTGGTGTCCGTGTCTGTGTCTCCTCTGCCCTAAACAGCTGACGAGGGCGATGTTAACAAGTGTTTGTTGAGGAGGAGAGGAAACAGGCGTGCGGGTGGGTGGGTGCCATGAGGAGGTGGGCACGGTCACTTCTTCTTGAGTCAGGGAGCCCACTGGTTCGTGCTTCCCTGGGGAGGCTGGGGGCTGTGGGGGTGGGGATGGGGGACGATTCTGACCCTCAGGCTGGCTGTGAGGCTCATACAGGAGGGACACAAGTGTCTGACCAGAGAGGCCTGCGTCGTTCAGGCCTGAGCTGGACAGCAGCCCAGGGGGTACACAGCTGGGGGCAGGTGCTTTGACACCAGTGAGTGAGGGACCCTCACCCAGATGAGGAGGCCCTGTACGGAGTGGGGTGTGAGGTGGGTCCGAGAACACATGCAGAGGCACAGGAAATGGCGTCCAGGCCCAGAGGCCAGAGGAGGCACTTGGGCCCGATCCTTGCTTCTGGACAGAGAAGGTGGGAGGCGGCCAAGGGGAAGGAGCGGAGCTGGGTGGCCCTATGGGGCCCGGGCAGCACCTTTGCTCCTGTTTGGACTGTAGGGAGGCATTGGGGACGTTGCGCTGATGTGCCTGCTTGCTGCCAGCCTAACCCACACGGTCCAGGGTCGGGTAGAGGGCAGCGTGCAGCCCTGCAGACCCTGACTGGGGTCACCTGTCCCCTTAGCTGTTCCAGAAGTGCTGCCTGGTCCAGCGGATCCTGGAGGCCTGGGAAGCCAATGATCACGCACAGTAAGGACCCACGGGAGCTGCAGGGGGTACCCGAGGGCCTGGTGTGCGGCTCCGGTGGGGAAAACCTGGAAGTGCTGGCCAGGGGAGGGGCAGGCCTAGGGTGCCCAGGAGAGACAGGCAGAGCCACTCTTCTCCTTGCCCCACCCGGCCTGTCTGTCAGCAGGGACCCCAGCCTTCCACTCACAGTGTGTCCTCAGTCCTCCCGTCTCCCCATCCCCGCCACCAGCTGCTTCTCCTGCTAAGCCCTGAACCCTCAGCAGTGCATCTGGGCTACTTCCTGCTTTCTCTCCTGCCCCACCGGCCTCTCGCGCCCTGAGCAGCTGGGATCTTTTTGAAACACACAGATGGTCTTCCCACTGCCTAAGTCTCGACCATCCAGGTCCCTGTGTGGGCTGCCCCTGCCCACAGCCCTGCCCACACCCTGCCGTCGCTCCACCCTGCCCACTGCTGCTTCTGGGGGGCTCTGATCTCACCCACCTCATGGCTCGCATCCTGCTGTTACCCCACCAGGTTGTGTCCTCTGCAGAATACGTGCAACATGTGGGACGGGGTCATCTGTCCTTCCTTGGGTCTGGCCCACGTGATACCACTGAAGCCCCATGGGCAGCTTGCTCTTGTCCCTCTTGTGCACTTGTGCACACGGTGCCTGTCGCGGTGGGTGGCTCACTCCTTTCATTGAGGGGCCCACGATGCCACAGAGGCTGGGACTCACAGCAGGCTGCACACAGGCCTCCCCGCGGGCCTGTCCCTCCAGGCTCCCTCCTGACCCCTTCCTCTGCCAGGCTGGGCTCACTGACTCAGGAGCCCACCTTTGCTTCCTCTTCTGGGCACCGTCAGGCTTTTAGGACAGAGAACATGGTCGAAAGTGACCTTGTCCCCTCTGAGCATTTAACGCCTTCCTAGCACAAGGGGCTTTAAAGATTTGCCCTTGTGTTGGGTCACGCATGTGACGGAGGAGAGGTTGAACGTGAAGCTGTGTGTGCTTGGCAGCGTGGGGTGGGAAGGTGGACGGAAGCCAGGACTCAGGCCTCAGAGTGTGTAGAACTCAGCGAGGGAGGCAGTTTGCAGACCCGGGGAGCCAGGCAGCGACAGGCCGGCTCCCAGCCACTGCCCATGTGGAGCAGCCCCTGCCTGGCTCTGGGTCCCAGTCCTGTGTCCGTTCTTAACTCCCCCTGCCCTCCCCTGCCACCCACCGCTGGTCAGCACCCGTGGCAGGAATGCACTGTACTGGGGTCTCTGAACCTCTTCTGCCCCACTGGGTGTTCCATCGGGTCAGCCGGCTCTGGGTGGAGCTGGAAGGGCCTCTGGGAGCCAGGACAGGGCAGAGGTGTCTGCGTGTGGGCTGAGGGGCGCAGCATCGGACCAGCCCTGCAGGGTGGGCAGAGGCCCACCAGGTCCTGCTGGTATGCAGGCCCCATGGCTGCCTCGGTTTCTGGTCTCTACGTTGCGGGTAGGAGCGGTGTCTGCCTCATTAGCACTCCTTGTAGTGAGATTGGAGTGATTGGCTGGCCTGTAGCAGGTGCTCTGGAAAAATAAGTGTCCTGCAGGTGGGATTCGCGGGGTGAGGGGAGCGGGGGGGACAGGGAGGGCTGGGAGCAGGGGCGAGGCCAGGGCCCTGATGGACACAGTGAAGAAAACCTAGTGGTCCCCTGATGCTGCCCTTCACTTTCAGGGCAGCGGGTGGCATGAGGAGAGGCAACATGGGCCACCTTACCCGGATTGCCAATGCGGTGGTACAGAACCTGGAGAGGGGCCCCATGCAGACCCACATCAGCGAAGTCATCCGAGGTGAGCCCGTCCTGCCCTTGTTGCCCTCCTGGCAGCAGGAGCCCCATTCTGGGTCTGCCCCCTGCCTCTGCCGCATCTCCTGCCTCTGTCCCCTGCCCCCTTCCACTGCCTCCTGCCCCCTGCTTCTGCTCTCTGTCCCCTGCCTCCTGCCTCTGCCATTTGTC